AAAAAAAAAAAAAAAAAATCATGCTACCCTACCATACCTATATGGGCATATGAGTCTTATTTCCACTCTGGGATGCATGAAGGGGTTACATGTAACGTTCAATTTGGATGTCTGGTACTCTTTTGTCAAATACCATAGTTGGAGAATTGGAGGCGTATATATAAACCAGGTGGGAAGCAAGCCTTTTCCTCCTTCCATTCCACCAGTTGACTGAACGGGAGAGTTAGAACTTCGCGACACAATTTCATAAGCAACGTCATCCTGAACAGGTCCTGGTGAGGGTATCAATATCGTAGGAATATATTATAAACAGTCATGTACTTTTAAGAATACAATAACGCCAGCTCTTCGTATATCCCTCAGCAAGGATAGAAATGCGTATCGTCAAAAACCAAGGGAAAGCAGGCCGTAGCGGTGTAGGGTAAAGCGGACAGGGAATGGGTTGAAGCCGTAACATGCAAAACGCAGAGGGTATCATCCGGAAACGACGTTAATCTATGTAGTATGAAGAAGCTGAATGGAATACTGGGAAAAGGTTTGAAAAAAAATAATTAAAAATTAAGAGATTAAGAAATAAAAAATACGACAATAAAAGACTACATGTCATTAAGGGTGATATCGGAATTGAATCACAAAAAAGACACTGGAATATGTGGATCCGATGTGCATATATATGGCCGTGAAGAAGCAGCAAATAAAAGGTCCCCATAATAACTCCCATGGAAGAGACGGTATCTCGGCCGAGATGACAAAAGGTCAATAAGATAGTAGCAAAAGAAAGCGGGAGAACAATTTCCCCCGTGATACGGTTTACTGACATGTGGCATATGCATGGTGTACGCGCATTCTGTTTCGTAAATCGCGTCGGGCAAAGGAAAGCTGTGGATCCAAAAGAAATCCAATTCGTGCAGGATTCTATCTCGATGTGTTGTATTTCGCCCTTCGTATGTAGTATATCTGATCGATGCTGTTTCCTCGCAAAGGAAGAGGCGGAAAAGCAAAGAAAATGATAACAAAAGAAGGTATAGGAATTTGGCCAGTATTTTTCATGTTGGATTCGTTCGTTGTAAATACCCCTTTTCTTCGGAAGTAGATGATTGTTTCATTTCTCCCAGTCATATCTCCGCTTTCGATTCCTTTTTAAAATGAACCCCTACTTCACATCACATCAGGTAGTCGAATAGAAAAAATGATATCTAGTCATTGACCATATCTCCCAGAGCCATCTTCTGCCTTTTTACGGGTCTTGATGGTGACCCTCTTTCCCTTCCAATTGCTGGTGAGCTTTCATCGTCTAGCGTTGGCGCCAGATTATGTGAAGCCGAAGTACTCAATTGCCCCTGTGGAGTGGTTTTTCCATGTGGCAACGGCTGTGGAGGCACTGGTAAGGGGCGATATGGATCCAATAAGCCACGAATAGGCGGCCCGGAGGAAAAAGTGGTAGGCTGAAAGGGAGGGTGTGCTGGAAGAGGTCGGGAGTCTTCCAACTCTTTTGCATGTTCAACACGGCTAAGGTTCGGCCTCCCTGACTGTATTGACGGCAGGGATGGTGGAAGTGCTCCAGGTGGTCGTTGACTGCTCTGAGAAAACTCAAACTCAAAATCTGACCCCGTTTTTGACGGCATAAGAGGCGGTAGCTGTATTTGGGATTGGCCCAGGGCCCGGGAACGGATAATTCCGCGCACTGCTGGAAGTCGATAAGGGGGGACTTGACAGCGGGCCGTGCGGAGATCCCGGCCCCGAGAAATAGGTAGACCCCCTAGGAAGCGGGGGGATATGGGGTCGTTGATATTGGCGAGGAGACTGATTCGGCGGTATCCTTTCACCAGGGAAAGGATGTACGGATCTTGTCATATCGCGATAATCTGGTATATATGCCGAGGATGACCCTGCTCCAGCCGAAAATAAGGGGACATTATGAGCATGTGATTGCTGAGAACTACTGGGAAACGACATTTGGCCAGGAAAAGCATTTGAAATAGATGGTGATGTATGCATTGTTCGTAACGGAGTCACAGGGGCCCACATTTAGAGATTAGGCATCGCGGAACCAGCCATTGGCCACCCATATTCACTCCCGATTTCACTAGATCTCCTTGATACCTGTAATTCCGTGTTAGGGCGAATTTCACGAGAGGAAGAAGTTCGTCTGTGTCCGTAGAACGGGGGCACTGGCGAGGAACTCTCAGGCTGAGGGTGAGATGCTCCTGGATAGCTATATGTCGGCTCGTATGTCTGTATGGTTCCCTCCTCAGCTTTCAATGGGGGTCTGCCTCTTCGTTTGTGTCTCACATCCACACAAGATTCCTATTTTTAGGGTTGTTAGCTTCTAATATATAGTTGGGGTTAGAAAATACAATTATCCCAATGAAACAGTATACAAAGTTCAAATATACAAAAGTACTACATTTCTCAATGGTGAAATCCCGCCTGATCTTACCTCTTTACCAGCTGAAATACATCTTCGGCATGGTCGCGCAGAGTCGCATCCAAGATGTTTCCGCTTGCAGTTCACGCATGCTGATGCGACATGAGCTTTTGCTCTACGTGTGGATCTGGGTGGAAGCGGCGAGGCCCTTGGGGGTAGGAGAGGCCCAGTCTGAAGTGTATGCCGGAGTTGAGTGTCATCGATTGCGGGTAGGCCTATGACAGACATGGCCGGTTGCCCAGCGGATAGCCGTCGCGAATCGGGGAGAGGAGCATCCGGCCCTGGGGCTATTGCTGGAGGTTCCGCGTAAGATAAAAGCGGCTGTACATTGCCGCGAACAGGAGACGGGATAGGTGAATCAGAACCCCTTCGGCGCCTGTCTCTGAGAAGTGGATCGAAACGACTTTCAGGCGAGGGGGAACCGGACATAGGGGGAGAGAGATAGGGAGCCCGAAGGCTGGGATTGCAAGACTCGTCTGACAGATTCAAGTTTAAAGGGAATCTCAGAGGATCGGAGCTTGACCCGTGGGCTTGTCCGAACGGCGAGAAGGGGAGGGGGCGCCCGGCAGATCGTACGGAGTGCATGAGGTTCGCTTTCTTCAAACCAACATCTGGAAGTATAAAAGATGGAACAAAGGATTAAATGGCCGACAAACAAGCCCGTATATGGCATGAGAAGCCTAGCAGATAACGGACTCGGATCTAGACTATCGCATGAAGGGCAAAACCGAGAACACCCAATCGCGCAGATCATAAACCTCGGTGTGAACAAGCAGCATGGAATCTTCCGCTCATGAAAAAGACGAACTCGATCTGCCTAAAGTTCATCAGCTCCGGTCAAAATTCCCTAGATCCGTCACATATGACACCCGAGGATAGATAGCTGTCACAATCCAGCCTGAGGCGCTCAATAAGAGACGATGGTTTAAAAGGAACTGCCACAGCCATTCCTGGGCATAACGTCCTAAGTTATCGAGAAGGAAGAAACACCCACTACGGGGGTATGACAAGCTCGAAATAAAATAAGAAGGGAACGTACAAACACTAGTTGGCAAGGGCCGCACGGGGTTCGCACTGTTTACGGGTCCAATTGACTCCTATCGCATCTCTGAATTTGCCACTGGGCGACGCC